TACCTATCTCTCTCTCTCTCTCTCTCTCTCTCTCTCTCTCTCTCTCTCTCCTCTCTCTCTCTCTTTCTCTCTCTCTCTCTCTCTCTCTCTCTCTCTCTCTCTCTCTCTCTCTCTCTCTCTCTCTCTCTCTCTCTCGTCCTCTTCCTGCCACTAGCCACTATGGAGCTTTGGCCTTATACCAGGCACAGTCGTGGGTGCTTTATCTGAATTACCCTACCTTTCAAGGCATCAATACAAATTATAGATGATGAAACGGAGGCTCCGACAAGCTATCTGTCCTAACATTATGCTACTGTCAAACTTCAGTCTATTCAGCTCCTAAGCTACCATAGCATCCTGCAATCCAGAACCTACACAACCACTTCTAGGAGAAGCAAGTTGTAAAACTCAAGGCTTTGAAGCTGGGCAAGATAGTCCTGTGTGCGAAGAGTGACTGGATGCCATAGGGAAGGGAAGTGGAACATGCGTGGATGGAGGCAGTGGATCTACTGATTCCTATTGTTATTGCACAGAAGAAGAACAATAAACAGCTAAAAGATTGCATATGTCTATGCATCCAATTACTCTGCATGCAAAAGAATAATAACTGCCTGCCCATTTCTTCCTTCATTATCATGATCAAGCTTCTTACAGGTTGCATTTCCTAACAGTTTGCTTTCTCCTTGACCTCTCTGAATCTATCTGTCATCCTCTTCTCTGCATACTCCTTTCTCTCCCAAAGGCCATTAGTGTCTTTTTTGATGTATCTGTAACAGTGGATTCTGTCAAATCTTCCACACAGTGAAGGTTTCTTTTTCCTTGACATTTTGAGTCTCTGTCTCTGACGGCTTTTCTCTTCTCTCCTGATATCCCATATTCAGCCAGCTGCTGCTTACCAGGCATTTCCTATCTGACTTTCTAATCCAAACACAACAAACCACCAATGTCTAAAAAAGAACTCCTGTATTTCCTCATCCAGTTAAAAGCAATAGATGTGTTCATTCAGTGAAGGAAGAAATAAACCAGTGGATTATCTTAGAACTACCTTATACACAGTCACTCATAGCATCACCAAGTTACATAACTCTACCTTATAGAAACATTTTAATTTTATCCCTTCCTCCCTAAGCTTACTGTCACTTACTCCAGAAGGCCCTCCACTTTTCCCTGTATTGAATGAGATCTGCAGATTCAAGGTGGTATGGCAATAGACTTTCCCAGTATCAGTAAAATCTATGTAGTCTTTTTGTCTTCAGTTGTGGCCTGTAAACCTGCTCCATTTACCATCTCAGTCTTGACGATTTTTCTAAGCACAGATTTTTTATCAAGCTAGTCATCTGCTTAAAGTCATTCTGTAGATCCTTAGACTCCTTAGGATAAAGTCTGGAGTTTATCTACCCATGGCATGCGAAGTCCATCATTTTCTGGGTCTAAGCTATTTCTCCAGACTTGCCTCTTGCAATGATTCTCAAATTTTAGATTTGGTGGAATCAAATTTCTTCTAGTCCCCTCAATATCTCTATGCCGGTCACCTCTTTATATTCCTCCATGCAGCCCCTTAAATCATTTATCTCCTTTTCGTTGGCAAAAGTTGATTCACTTTCGAGATAACTCCACCTTCATTTCCACTCTGCATTCTTTTCTAAGTCCCCCGAGCACACCTAGATGTTTCTTCCTCCGTGCCAGCCAGCCTGTCATCTTGCATTTGTCTTCATTACAACAAGGATTCCTTCACATTCGATTTGCTACTTTGTCTGACAGCTTCTCGGCCAATCTGCAAGTTCCTCGGAGGCAGGAACCATTTTCTATTTATTGTTATACACCCAGAGCATAGAGTAACACTTTTCCCCTGCGAGCTGACATTTTCACCTTCATTAATATCTCTGTTGCCTACCACTTGAGGGTTATTTTTCCTCCTTCGGCATTTAGCTGAAATGCATTTTCTCATTAAAAAAAATCCCCTGATTGGACTCACTTCACTGTAATTACTCATTCATTTTTATTATGTCCTCGGTGTGTGCGTTCAAATGGTTTAGATTCTATTCTTAATTCTAGCTCAACCACCTTATGTATTTAAGGATCACTTTTGAAACCATGATTGCAGAGCTCTTAAAAATTAATTTCCTTTAAAATATCCATTTTTTTTCCACTCAAAGAAATGGTTAGACTCCTGTTAAACATACTTTTGCCCACCCTAAACCAAGCACCCAAGTAACAGAAACAGAAATGAAGAACAAAAAGCCACCTAAACTTTCAAGAACAAAGAGAAGATATTCAAAAATAATTGGAGCTAAGAACTGGTAAGAGACATAAAGCTTAAATTTCTCGATGTAAGGGAGGCTCCCCTCCCGCGCCACCCAGAGGCTGTCTCTTCATCGCTTTTGTTTCTTCCTCGTGGACAGGGCAGTGATGTCCAGCCCTACAAAAGGCTTGAGAAGAGCCAGATGGTATCAACTTGCCCACAGAGCTTCTGAGGTGGATTGGCCCTTGTAGTGTAGCAGTTTGGGAGAGGAATAAAAGAGAATGGCAGCCAAAATATTCAGCAAAGTGTTGTTTGTTTGTTTGTGTAATGTGCTCAGGGTCTGAAAGCTCTGAACAGAAGTAAACAAAGGGAGAGGGGATTCTGCTACCCTCATTTGTACTCCCTACACTGCACGCTGCTCTTCTTTTCTTGCTAGAGGCTCTGCTTTCCCTAGCCAGTCAATAAGTTCCTGGAGATCATCAGCCGCCTGTCACATGCTTCTTTTGTATTCTCTAAACCTTTCAGCACACCGAGTACATAGTGTATGCTCAAGAAACACTGTTGACGCACTGATTACTACGTAGTTAACTATTTTCCTTCCCTGGCAAATTTTCAGGAATGCCTATTATTCACAAAACCGTGGCGTCTTGGAAGCCAAAAGGAAGCAACCATCTGTTGGTATACATTTTTCCTTAGCTATGCGTTATACAGAGATTTCCTTTGGAAAAAATAAACAAAGGATGCTTGATGAGCCAGGACAAAGAACTAAATATAGAGTTCAAGTGGCCAGAGTATCAAGGTCAAAGCATGCCCTTCCTTAGCCAGATTAAAGGAGAGCTATGGGCCTGCACTGAGCTCTTTCCTGTGTTCTCCAGCTCCAAATGAAATGATTTTCAACCACCTATTCTGGGGATTCTACTAGCTGAGCCTCAAGTGTAAGATACACAGAATTCATCTAATAATCCTGCAGTGATCTTAATGTCTGTCTCTGTAATAATAGGAAGAGCCCAGCTTTGTTTACTTTCTGAGGAGAATAGAGAACAGAGGACAACTAGAATGGGAGGCAGTATTTATGGACTCTTTATGAGAAGTCGGTCTGTGACAAAAACACTCCCAAACAATAAGGAAGGGGAACAGGTTTGGCAGGAATATAACCTATTCCTGTTCTTGCCAAAGCGTTGTAGCTGGCATCTTCCACCACTGCCCAATGCGAAGTGCTTGAATTACACTGTGAATATAGTAGTCATTCTCTACAGACAAATCTAGATGAGATAAAAATGGGGGGGGGGGGAATCCAGACACCATTCAGTGTCTGGCTCTCATAATTAGCATTATCCTACTATTTATTTCATTGTATAAAGTACTTACAAGTGTTGTTGAACTCTCAAGTCCCTTCTTTACTGCATTATTAATCCCGGGGCTTGTCCTGAAGCCTTTTGGACATACAGCTCTGTGTTGAATGAGTATAATAGACAGCCTGCATGCACCCTATTATTAAAGGGGAAGGTGAGGGCCTATCTCTTAAGCTTTCAGAAAAAGATGATGTCATAAAGAACAGCCATGAACTCCAGAAACCATCCTAGAGGGGCCCTGTTCAGGACAAGATCTTAAAAAATATGAATGTGTTGAGAATTTACACAATAGATTTTAATTACATTCACCCACAAACCCTTTCCCCAAACTCCTGCCAGACTCGCTGCCACTTCGTTACCACCCTCCTAACTTCACTCAGGAGAGAATCCTAAACTGAGTGGACTATACATTATTAACTCCTAAACTACAGAATCATGTTCAACACTCTTAGATTGTCTCACTGCTCTTTGTTGGTTCCCAGTTAATGTTTCTATTCCATTATCTATAGCCCCTGTACAGGTGTAACCACACCAGAGGGGATTTTTACAGTGTGTGAGCCATTCTGTGTGCAGATAGGATGCCTAAGCTATTTTCCTGTACCTAGCATGATGCCATACATTAAAAGCTAGTAGCAAAAGCTGCTCTTTTGTGTAGCCAGAGCAGACAGTGGCTCACATAATGATATTTAACAAGCATCCCTAAGGGTGCTATTTAAATAGCTACTTTGCTGGATCGCTATGGGATTTCCACTTACTTTATTTATGCATGGTAGTGCTAGCACTTCTTCCTCAAGGCACAGGTTAACTTCTGAGTGCTAACTTCAGAAAGCTACTTTGGAACTTTGCATCATAGCCCACTTCTTGGGCTATGATATTGCTCCCTGGTATAAAACACTTGCCTAGCATTTGCCCCAGCACCCAAAGAAAGAAAACTCACCTGTTATCCAAAGGCCAGAGTGCATCTTCCCCTACTAACACAATGGTGGATTATTTTATGAGGCCTGCTGCTACCACTTCAAAAGAACAGAGCAAGTAATAAAAAGAACTGGTTTCCAGAATGGCCTATGAAAGGTTGAAAGTGTGCTATGCTTAGGCGAGGCTGGCCAGGATGATAAATTTCCCAGGGATCAGGAAAAGAGATTCTAACATGAAAGAGCAAAGGGATAAACTACAACTTTGCTTTTTTCCTTATTACTTTCTCTGTACTTAATAGTCTTTTGATTAGAACAAATGCAAGGACAGTTTTATTTTTTAATCATATTTTATTCACTATTATCTGTTACTCCCCTGTTAATCATGCAAATTCTAAACTGAGGGATCCCTCATCCAATTTTCTGCTTACAATCCTCTCTTGTCCCCTCGACACTGTAGATTTCTTACACTGTAATCTGACAGCATAATCAGAAGCATTGATAAAAATGGAACGCAGAGGGATTCCGATTGGCTGAAAACTACTCAGAAATAATAACTTTCTACTTTGTTTTTTCCTTCTCGGAAAGGGTGAGACCGTAGAGAAAAAGAACAAAATAAAAAGACATTGACAGAGCCATGACTTGCGAAATCTGGAAAAGAAGCCAAAAGCGTGGTGTCAGTTCAACCTGACATTTTATAGGTAAGGACACTGTCAGGGTCCTAACCTACTTACCCTCATGCAAGCACTTATTTCATAGAAGAGGCAAGTCAGGAATTCAGTTTTCCAACACTCCAATGCTTCTTCTCTTTTTTTTTTATGCTTCTCCCTACACCCACAACATCCCATTCTATAGTTTCACATGTGAGTTTAACCAGTACCCCATGGACTCTACCTAGATTAGTGCCCAGCAGGGATTTTATTACTAGCATATGTTCATCATTTAAGTATGTTCGCTATACTAGAAGAAGCCAAAAACTTTAAGAATATCAATCAGTTGGGGGATGTAGGATTACTTATTGCCTTAGGAGATATTCTTTGGTCTTAAACAGGAACCACGGACTGGGATCATGATAAAATTATTTTATCATTTAAAACAAAACAAACATGATCTCTGATACTTATCTGTCATACAAGTAAGATTAAGAGTGGATTATAAAACTCTATATAGAATCAGGAAAAAATTACCCAATCACTGCCCATGACAAATCCTCTATTTTATTGGTCTGTATTTAGATTTTAAGTATTATTATCAGTTATTCTATAAACCCACACAAAGCAAAATGATAGATGTGGAGTTTTGTATATGCTTTTAAGAGAAAGAAGAAAGAATAACACCTTTCTTTTATTCTACTGTGCCAAGGAACACTGAACTCCCCTTCTAAGCACTTTTAATATTCAATGCTGATAATAGTTATAAACCTCATACTTATACAGAATTACACAGTTCATAATTCACAGACAATTTAATCATAGGCATTATTTGTTGACTACAAAAAGACTAGGTAGGGGAATCAAAAATAAGTGAAAAGATAATGAGTGAGGATATAGCTAGGCCCAGGGCTGTGGGATGAAGAAAAAATAAGCTAGAAAGGGAGGAAGCAGTGATGATCAGAACGTCGTATTGAATGAACATAGCCCCATCCTAAGGATTCATGATCCCAAATTGACCAGTAATGATTGATTTTTTAAGTGATAACATCCATTTTGATGAGGAATCACTTTCTATATGATTCTTGTACCATCAACTGTGTGGAAAGAAGGGAGTTACTCTTCATCTGTTGTTCCCCATAAACCATCACCATCACCTAGTTCTAAAAATCATCCATATCAGTGACCTTTCTTTGAATAAAATTCCTAAAGGCATGAGATCATCTATACTACCAGTCCTTGGCCCCAAATGACTGGGCTACAGGCTGGCAAAATTGAAGTTCCTCCAAAGACGATCCAGTTCAGATCCAACGAAAGAATTACAAATATTACCGTTACCTACCTCAACCTGCTGGCAGATCTGTATTAGTTTGGCCATTTGATTTTCTAGTTCGCTGTTGCGCTTAACCAGGTTGGTGAGGTTCATCTCCAGAGTTTGCTGCCATCACAGAGGGTATGAAGCCAGCGGGAAACAGGAGAAAGGGGAAAAAAGAACAATGAACTTGAGAACCAATGTAATATGAAAATCAATAAGCCAAAAGACAGAGTTCCCTGCCTCTTTGAGGGGGGGGGGTCATGAAGGTGAGACAGAGCCTCACTCTATAACCCATGTTTGCTTCATACTTACAATGACTCTCCTGCATCAGCCCATAAAGTCCTAGGACTGTAGGCGTGCACTTCTCCATGGATATAGAACTGCAGGCCTTACACATGCTAAGAAAGTGCTGTACTACTGAGCAACACACCACCAGCTCAGTAGATTCATATCTTCCAGATTACCAGGTCTGCTACAGACTAAGAATTGTAAATGTTCCCTGATTGGGGAGGAGGTAGAATTCATGACTTTGTAGGCTACTGTAGGAATTCACTGACATTAAGGCAACCTATAGTTTTTATAATTTTATATTATCTTTAACTTTTCAAACCATTTCATAGCCATTTCCTTTTTCTCTCTAATCAGGTCCAGTTAACATAAGAAAATAAGGTGGTGATATCACCATTTTATTCATAGACTAAGAAAACTATAATTTGTGTGTGTGTGTGTGTGTGTGTGTGTGTGTGTGTGCAGGAGAGGTGCATGCTTGTGTGCGAGGGCACATACATGTGTTGTGTACACGCTTGTGAAGACCATGGGCCAACTTGGGATTTTGTTCATCAGGGGCCATCCATGTTGCCTTTTAAGAAAGAAGACTCATTTTCCTGGTGCTCACCAATCAGGCTGGCTAGTCAGGGAACCCCAGAAATCTGCCGGTCTCTGCCTCCTCAGCACTGGGGTTACAAGTCCACACCACCCTACCCAGATTTTCTCCATGGGTCCTGGGGATCATATTCAAGTCTTCATGTTTGCACAGCAAGCAGTTTACCAACTGAATTGTTTCCCTGGCCTCATAATTGAATGAATGATTGCTTCTTGCCAGACAATTTCGTATGTATTGGTACTATAGCACTCTCACAAAGAAGGATATGGTAGCATTTTAATGAGGAAAAAGTGGATGAGGGTAAAGTGTTTCATAGCTATAAACCAAGGGTGTAGCAAAGCTAGGACTGAAAACTGGATTTCTAATCAGTACACGGTGTTGAATCAAGATTCTATAATGTTTGGCATTTTTGTTTTTAACATTATGTACTTATTGGGAGGCCTCTTCAAGAAAACTATGGTGTGCTTTAAATGTGACAGTCACCAAAATCAAACGTTTTTATCTCACAGTTTTCTTTCCATAGACACAAAGAGTTTAAGACACAAAGCCTGATTCTGTCTGGAAAGTATCTACTGTTTACCCTCACTCACTGGTACACAGCTCTATGTAGGTTCATGTGAGATTCACCTTGCAGATATTTTGAACATAACACAGTAGTACCAGTACTTAAACTCTAACATATTTCCAGTTGAGCAAGCTACTATCTTCCATCCATTGTGTGAAAACTAAACTATTATGTCTCTCTGTATTGAGCTTGGACGTTCATTCTTCCCTAGCTCCAAATTTTAGCTTTGATAGCTGCTTCCCCCCCAGAACCAGTCTCAGTATATACTACTCCTTTATACACCATCTCAATACTCCATCAAATCTGTCCCAAATATAATACCCCAATTTCCTGACCCTCATTCTGGTAGTATTCTTTCCCTGGGTCATGCTCATTGTTTCGTTGCTGTCTCCATGGTGGCTATGATTTATAGCTGTTCAAAGTTCATGCTATTGAAAGAGAGGATGAGAAGGACACTGAAGAGTAAAGGGATGTAGACAAAGAGAGGGTGCTCGTGTTCTTGGATCTTTTTCTGTCTAGGAAGTAGCTGTGACTCATTAAAAACCTTGGCACTGTTTTCTGAATGTGTCACAAAGGATATATTCATAAAGATGTATGTATAGCTAGGCTGCCTAATCTGATTTCACTTGTTCTCAGACGGAATTTTGAGGACCAGCTTTACTCTGGTTTCCCTTCATGTCAGAATATGATGGCTGAAATGTGAAATAGTCTCCATAGACTCAGGGATTTGAATACTTTGGTGCTGTTTGTAGGGTATAGGAAGTGCAGTCTTGATGAAAGAAGTGTATTATTGGGGGGTGGGCTCTGAAAGTTCATAGCCCTGCCCCACGTCTAGTTCATTTTCTTTGCTTCTTTTCAACAGATGAAAGAATCATATCTCAGCTTCCTACTCCTGTCGTTATGCCCACTGCTTGCTTCCATGCTTCTCCACCATAATGGACAGTTACCCCTCTGGAACTGTAAACCAAAAGAAACTCTTTCTTCTGTAAGTTTGCTTTGGTCTTGGTGCTTTATCATAACAACAGAAAGGCCACAGTACATCTTTCTTGGTTTCCTTAGCTTTAGTTCCATGGAAGTCACTTATGCTACCTCTGCTTTCCTTCTTTATTTCTTGAGGGGTCTCTCTCAGCTTTCTTTAATTCTGCTATTATCTAAATCTGTGTTCTTAATAGGAAGAAGTGGGGAAAAGGACAAGGGAAAGGCAGCAATCACTGAATTAGACATCATCACTAAATAAATTAGGTGTCAAAGGGAAAAAGAAGAAATGACAGTTCAGAGATTTACCACAACAAAGACATATTGAGCATCTACTGTGGTCAGGGTACAGTGATGAATCTTGAAGGATAGGCGGGATTTTAACAGACAGAGGTGGCGGAAGACGGGGCATTTCAGGCATAAGGAATACGATGAGGAAAAATCAAAATAAAGCAACCAGAGTGGCAGCATACATCTGTAGCCAAAGCTACTCAGATAGCCGAGGCAGGGTGGAGAGTTGAACTTAGGAGTTTGAGCTGCTGTTCAGTTACTATGTACTGAACAATATACTAAGACTCTTTTTCTCAAGAAAAAATAATATTGTCAGGGACCAATAAACAGTTTAGTTTGACTAGAACACAGGGTACAAGGATGAAAATGGAGATCATCCCTGTTTTGCTGGGTGTGGTTGTACACACCATTAGTCCAAGCAATTGGAAAACAAAGAATGCAGATCTCTGTGTGTTCCAGGCTAGCCAGGGCTATAGAGCAAATTCCAGGACAACCAATGCTACATAATGAGGGCCCATCTGGGGGAGTGGAATAAAGTCCTGCTTTGAGGGTCTTGAATGTACAAATGGGTTTATACCTATTTGTTTTAGTACTGGGGTTTACACAGGGCTGTTGAATAAGGAAATGACATAATCGTGGCTACATTTAGGATATTAACCTAGCAGCAATATGGGGAACAGAGCAAAACAGGAAAGCCTGGGAGGCAGGGACAGTGGTTATGAAGATACCACAATATTCAAGGCAGTTGCAAATGCAGGTCTGGGCCAAGCTCAGAGGATAATCAGGAGAAACATGTTTCAGGAAAAGATTCATCACTGTCAAACGAGCAAACACCAAGAGAAATGTGAGAATTTATTTTTAAAGGTGGGGGTGGGCTAGATTGGGGAATCAGAAGTCACAAGTAACCTTTGTAAAAGGAGTTTCAGTAGGGCTTTGGAAGTAGATACTAAAGCATTCAGGGTTAGAGTACATCAGCTGGCTGCAAGCCTAGATTTCTCTCCCGAAGTTCGGCCATAGAGGGAATAGAATAGATTTCAGTTTGATCAAAGAGTCTAGTGTAAACCAGAAAGGGGAAATTACTAATGGAGCCAACCAGTCAAACATTTCCTCTTGAAGAGTAGTTCACAGTCCCAGATCAATGGAAATCCCACGTATCAAAAATCATTATATTGACCTATTTGATAAATAGCCCATTTGATTGATAAACCCAGAGAAGAAAAAAAAAGATTTAAAATTCTTTGTTTCCCACTGCAATATGTTTCCATTCAAACATGTGATTCTACTGGGAGAATTTTTTTTAACAAGTACATGAGACCTGTTGTAACACTGGCCTAAAATTGATATATCATAAATAATTCATACTGCAGAGCAGGATGGCGATCCCTGCTGTGCGTTCCTCATTTATGGCCCTGGACTGAGAGTCATGGCTTGTATAAAGCTACGGAAAACAAAAATTAGGGCTGAACACATAATTTAGGGTCTGGTTAGACTACAGGCCTTGGGTTACCATCACAAAATTATGGCAAATGGTTGGTTTGCTCTAGCCCCATAGCAATTTGCAGAATGCCAGTCCGTTCTAGCAGCACAGTTCCAGAGCTGACAAGATGACTCTAATTTCAACCTTGCTTCATTAATATGAAAAATGCTTTGAAAAATAAATCTTTGACTAATGAAAACACCATCTGTTGATGGCTTCTTGCCACTGTTTTCTTATATTATGAGACATAATTTAGGGAGGGGGAACACTGAACATTGACTTACTTCCTATTTATTTGTAAGGAATTAAAGATTCCTTTCAAGTTGGAATTGATCCTCAATAATGGACATATGCGAAGGGAAGCAGCGAACTGAAGCAATTATGCAGCCTCTCTCCTCACCCCTTCCCAAATGCCCAGCGCTCACAAATCATTTAGAACTAACATTTCTGGGCCACTCTAGGTCTGAATGACTTGGAGTGATTTGGCCATGTCTATATTGGTCTTGTCTATACCATGTCTGAGTAAACAAAGTTGATTTGTGTGTGTGTGTGTGTGTGTGTGTGTGTGTGTGTGTGTACATACACAAACTCTTTTCATGTCAAAATAAACATGTCTCTTTGTTATTGTAATTGGGTTTTGAAGAATCGCTTTGTTTTGCTCCTTTCTATGTATCCCATTTAATGAGTGGGCTAGGTTCCCTCTGTCTAAGTCCAACTAGTACAACTTTCTCCAAACAGTCGAGCCATGACAGCGAGGGAGCCAAAGTGGCAGGGGAGATTGGAATGGAGATATCTGCTGGGAGGAAACAGAGACAGGAGGTTGGCAGAGAGAGCAGGATGAAGTTCCCATTTCCTGCTGCAGGAGGTTACCTCTGAGTCTCTTTGCGCTTCCCTTTTGTGAGGGTGAGAAGCCATTTTAGTTAGGAAACTCT